TCTCAGTGCTTCCGTTGATAAAACAATTGGTGTATGGAAAGGTAAAGATGAAAATGTATGTCAAAGTTTTTATTTTATTTATTCAAAACAAATAAATTCTTCTAAAAATAGTATACAAAACATTTATCACTCGATGGGCATCAGAATAGTGTAACAACTGTTTCTGGTTATCAACAATCTTCAAATGATAATATCTATGTAGCAAGTGGTGCTGCAGATTCAACAGTAAAAATTTGGCGTATTAATAATACGACAGGTATATAACAATAAATAATTAAAATTTTTCAAAATATTATTTTTCTTCTAGCTACTTGTCTTCATACAATTGATTTTAAGAATGGTTTTGCTATTACATTAGAATTAGTTCCATTAGACAGTCATAAAGATAGTAAATAATTCTTTTTTTTCCTTTTAATAAACAAAAAATAAATATTTCATTGTTTTATTTTAGTGTTTCTATTATTTGTTGCTACCGATAAAAATAAAGTACATATTTATCAAGTATCAGACAGTGTGGTTAGTGAGTTGAAGTAAATATTTGAAAAAAATACTCTTTAACTTTATTTTATTTATTTCTACAGATTGAATTAGTTTTTGTATTAAGTGGACATGAAGATTGGATACGTACAATAACAATACAAAAAACAAGTAAGAATAAAAAATATTTTTTAATTTCATTATCGAATAATAAATTCTAGCACCGTATCAATGGTTTGTTGCAACTTGTTCACAAGATAATTATATTCGTATTTGGCAGTTATCATTTGATGTAAATAATAATCATGCAAATATTGATTCGACAATATTAAAATTAAAACGAAGTTCATTTACATTAAATATTTCTAGTAAACACACACAAAAGAAATTCATTGCATTAATAAGTCTTTTATTTTTTGAATTTAGATGACTTATTGATTAATATTGATGCTGAACTTTATTCAATTTTATTAGGACATGAAGAAGCTATTTATGGTCTTTGTTGGTATCCAAATATAAGTAAATAATACTTTATTTTCTTTTATAAATATAAACTAATGAAATTATATTTAACCTTGAAGATCGAAAAAAACCAGCAACAACTATATTATCAGCATCAATGGATAAATCAATGGTTTTATGGACTTTTGATGACAATCAAAAAATGTATATCGATAAAGTAATAGGAATTATTTCTGTTTTTTTTGCTATTAAAATTCGTATATTATTTTTTGATATAGGCTCGTGTAGGTGAAATTGGTGGTAATACACTTGGCTTTTATGGATGTACATTTAGTTCATGTGGTTCATATATACTTGGTCATGGTTATGAAGGTGCTTTACATTTATGGAAAATAGAAGAAGTAAATTTCTAAAAATAATTTTCGTATATATTTTTTATTGTTTGTAGGTTGATGATCGTATTAATTTAATTCCACAAGTCATTAATAGTGGACATTTTGATACAGTTGAAGATTGTTGTTGGGATAAACATAGTGGTCGATATTTATTAAGTGTATCAACAGATAAAACAACACGTTTACATGCTGAATGGAAACGAAATAAAGTAAAATAATTGATTTAGTTGTTTGAAAAATTATCTTTTTATTTTTATAGATAATTTCATGGCATGAAATTGGTCGACCACAAATTCATGGTTATGAAATGAAATGTTTAGCATTTATTGGATCTAATCAACAACGTATTGTATCGGGAGCCGATGAAAAAATTTTACGTATATTTGATGCACCAAAAAATTTTTTGGAAAATTTTGCTCGAATAACAAAAATTAATGTTGATGAAGATATTCAAGTAAAAAAGATTTTTTTCTATTTGAAATATCTATCATATTCTTATTTTTTGTTTTCAGAAAGCTCAAGCTTTACCTGAAGGTGCAAATGTTCCAGCTTTAGGTTTATCAAATAAAGCAATATTCGATAATGACGAAAAATCAACTACAACATCAACAATTGAAGACAATCCAATGACTGTTGATGGTTTATATAAAGAAGGATTTTTTAAAGCTATTACTTTAAATGGTAAATGAAAAAAAGCATTTAATTAGTCTTTAATTTTTATTTTAATATAGAACCACCCTTTGAGGAACATCTTTTACAAAATACACTTTGGCCTGAAATACAAAAACTTTACGGTCATGGTTATGAAATTATTGCTGTCGCATCAAATCCATCCGGTTCAATTATTGCTTCATCATGTAAAGTAAGTTACTCGAGCAAATAATATCTCTTCGCGAAGATTTTTTAATAGAGCGAGTAAAGGATAACGATACTAATTCAAGAAAACTTATTCTTTACATTTTAATCGAATAGGAAATATTGTGTTCTATAGAGTACATACTATTATTTATATTCTAAGTACAACTAAGAAGTACTTTTTTTGACACTTGAGAATAAGTATAGAAGCCAATCTCTTTGTAATTGTCTTACTATTATCAAATAGATAATAGACAAAAAAACCTGTCAAATTCTTGTCAATCTAATCAAATCTTAATAATAGCTAGAATATGAAATTTTAATAGTATCTGATAGTTGTCAAAAATGATAAAACTCGTATAGCTTTTATATAATTAAAAAATTGTTTTACATGAAATGTCTATTTTTGAATATTTAAGAATTGTAAATTAAATTTTGATTTATCTATAGGCAAGTCATCAAAATGATGCAGCTATCATATTATGGAATACAAATACTTGGAAAATAATTGTTCGTCTTGCTGTTCATCAATTAACAGTTGTTCGAATGGTTTTCTCAAATGATGGTCGATATTTATTATCAGTTTCACGTGATCGATCTTGGTCATTATTTGAAATCGATGAAACAAGTATATATTTTTTATTTAAGAGAAAACAAAAATTCAAATTTCTTTCTATTAATTAGATTTTCAAGCTCGATTATATAAACGAATATCAAGTAATAATCCCTATCATAAACGTATTATATGGACATGTCATATATCTCATGATGATAAATATTTTGCTACCGGTGCACGTGATCAATTGATACATATATGGCGTGTGAATGAAAAGAGTAATGATGATAATGAGCAACCATGTGAAAAAAATTATTTAAAATTGAATGATTCTGTAACAGCTGTTACTTTTGCTCCTCGATTCGTTGAAAATGACAAGTTCGTAAACGATTGTTTTTCTTTTCTAAATTTATTGAAAAATTGTTTCTTAGGTATTTCGTCGTAGCAGGACTTGATAATGGTTCTGTTTTTCTGTATACTTGGAATGAAAAAGTATCTTGGCAACATTTAACATCAATTACACATCCGTAAGAAACAACAAAATAATTACTTTTACTTCTAATTAATCATCGTTTTATATTGAGAATATATTAATCAGTAAAAACAACTAGTAGTCATTATATTTTCATAAAGTTATGTCGAACGGAAATAAAAAAAGTTCTAGTCACGTAATATTCTTCTTGTTAATATGAGTACTTCCGATAATCTTATATTCCATCCTATGAAGAGAAATGTCTAAACATCCGTATGTTCTTTAGATTATATTTATATATTGAGATATTAGAAATAAATAAAACAACAACAACAACATCCGAGAAAATAATGAAGAGGATAGAATAGATTATATAAAGTATAAAGATATTTTTTAAATTCCTTCCGGATTTAAACTGATTTATTTGTAAGAGAATAAAGTAAAATATCTTGTTAATTCAATGATTTTTCTAACATTGAGATGTTCCCTTGGGAATTTTGAGCCTTTTGTGTGAAGGAAAACAACATTTATTTTCTCCACTAGAATGATTATTCATGTTTTGAAGAAAAAATCTTATTTTTTTTCTCATTTAAGACTTGGTTTTCATTTAACTGTAAATCAGTTATGTTTCCGTCCATCAACATCATCATCAACATCTTATCAATTAGCCGGTTGTTCGAATGATGGTACTGCTCGTATTTTCAGCATATTGTTATCTTGATTTTATTTTTTTTGAATAAAAGAAAAGTTTAATTTAATGTCTGTTTTTAAGTAAACATTCATTTAAATTTTTGTTTCTTTTCTATATATATTCTAGATAACAGTCATTTTTAGTTTTTAATAGTATTATGTTTCATTGTATTGCTTTTCTAAATCCATATGTTGTCAATAATAATTTACATAATCATATAATTTTCTTACAACAAACTAGTGGTAAGTCATAAGTCACCTAATTAAATATCTGTATAGATTAGTCTTGTCAATTAAAATTAATAGCATGTCTTAAAAGAAGATGATTTTTTTTTGTCATCTAACATAAGGTTTTAGGGTCGAAAAAAAGGATCAAAAGAAAAAAAGGAAAAAAAATAGGTAGTAATTGCAAATTCTTTTATTTTCTATTCTTGTCTCTATGTGTTTCCTTTATGAAAAAAAAATATATATTTTTTTTTGCCCTACTCACTCGTCTTATTATTCTCCTCTTTCTTTCAACTTTTTTTTTTCTTCTCTTATCTAACATGAGAAAATAACTCGACATTACTCTTGTCCTTGAGACGTAGGGTGCGATATATACAAGTATAAAGACGTATAATAATTGTTAAACGATGTAAGGAGTAGTACTACGCATGAACAAATTGGTTTATTCGATGTAGTAACATTAATAGTGTCGAACACAAGAGATAGACGAATTGAAAAGAAAAAGTGAATGAGAACTCTCTCTCTTTCGCTATATATATATAGAGGATATAAGTAATAAAAGAACTATTTTTTTGCATTTTCTGTCGCATTTTTTCTTTTGTCTCGATCGATCATTCTTGTTTACTCAACTACTTGACTTTCGACGGCAGAAAACTGGAAAAGAGAAAGTAAGAGAGGAAAAAGCAAGTTTTTTTGGTCACACTTATCTGATAAGCCAAAAATGGGAAAGCAAAAAAAGAAAAAAAAAAAGAAAAGAACGGGGAAGAAAAATATGATGACTTATTTGTTTGGTTGTATTAGACTTCATAATCTATCTTTGTTTGTTCTCATCTATTTTAGGCACATTTGAACCGAGCTAGATGTTTGAATGGCGGATGGCAATAGCCACCCATTCAATAATGATGTTATTGCTGATGATACGATAGTTCAATTACAAAAACAACTATCACATCAACAACAACATCATCAAAATATTTCTAAACATAAAGATCTTATTGATCTTCTTTCCTCAAATAATACAAGTAATCATTTTTTAAATACAAATGATCCATCTATAAATATATCATCACAAACAATAACTGATGATGATTTCAATCGTCTTAAATCAATAATACGTTCAACAATATGGTCTATTGATAATTCTATACGTCGACAATTATGGATGAATATATTAACATTAAATCGAGTTAGCACATCCAAACAACAAAATGAACATCGTCATCTATCACAAATACCTATTCCCACATTATCAGTAACAATTGATAATAGTCTATTTTCTTTAACATCAAAATTTAATCAATGGCCAAATTATGTTGATACAACTAATATATGTCTTTATCATTTAACTGAACCATCGGGACGTTTATTATTACAACGTATTCTATTTACATTTGCATTGCATCATCCTGATTTAACCTATTGTCCTGCATTAGAACCATTTTCATCTTTACTTTTACATTATTTTAATGAACATGAAGTTTTATATTTAATTAATCGTTTATTAATTAAACATTGGTTATGTGGTGAAACACGTTTACAATGGGAAGCAAATTGTAATGTATTTAAAAAATTATTAAAACTTTATTATGTAAAATAAAATTTTGTTTTTTCTCTAAATAAACAATATCTATGATTTATTTTATTATAGAAATCAACAGCTGATGCAATTGAATTACGTTATCCAAATACAAAAATATTCTATCAAGAATGGTTTTGGTGGATATTCCGTTACTTACCATTTTCTTATCTTGTATGAAAGAATTATTTTTTTTTGGAATTTTAATTTATTTCATTTTTAAATATAGGTAAAAATTATGGATTGTTTCTTTCTTGAAGGCCCAAAAATTTTATATCGTGTTGGTTTAGCACTGGTTCATTTATTTATTAAAAGTATGTTATTTATCAATCATAATTTATATATATATATATAAATAGAAATATCAATAGTTCCTTTTTTTTCTATTCCACTCTATCATTTTATAGAACCTCATTCGTACAATTGTTTGTGTAAATATTCACACTTTTTTTTTCTATATATGCACTTTGAAAAAATACAATGCTTGTTTTATTTCTATACAATATTTTATAGTCAACAATCTATTCGTTTATAATGTATTGAAATAATAAGTTTATACTAACATTTGGGCATTTTAGAAAATGCATGAATACTAACCATGTTATTTTTTTTAACTTTAATTTAATTTAATGCTTTGAAAAGGGGTTTTTCTAGGGATATTTTAATTAAATGTGATTAATTTATATGAAATTTATTTTGAATTTTTATTATCTAGCGGTCAAAAATGAATCGAGTGGAAGTATTCGAAATATGGCTGATTTTTGCCAACAAATTCCTATATCAATTGATCAACTTTTACGGGTATGTAAATATTATAATACACAATATATTTCAATATATGTCTCCACATAAATGATATTCATACTAATAAACATAGTTTAAGTATGATTCACACATTCGGCACGATTCAGTTTCTTTTTGATAGAAAACTTCTTCGATACGTGCATATCTATAGAGAGTTAACTTTTAATACATGTTCTTAGTAATATTTTCATTATCTTCTATCAATTATTCATCACTCTCTTCCCTGTGTCACTACACAATTTGTTATTTCTAACGGTCTTGTGAAGAGGATCTTGCATGTTAGTTTCTCGTTCTTTGATATGTTATAGATAGTCTATGAAAGATAAGACAACGAAATTTCTTAGCCTATTTTCATCTGTCTGTCTTTTTGCATACGAAAACGATCAGAGGTTTATAAAAAAAGAGAATGTGAATTTACTCAATGGAATGAACTTTGAATCTTCGAGTTCCGATAAAGAAATTACTCATGATGGAATAAATATAGAAATTTGTAGTAAAACGGAAGTCATATGAGTATGGTATCATTTCATGAAAATCCTGTAAGATGTTTACTCATTGATATACTATTTGAGATACTATACTCACTGCTTCGAAAAAAAATCACACAGCAACAATCAAGAGAAGGGAAACAAACTTTCAACTATTGAAAAGTTTACATAGATATTTTCATTGTTTGATAATAAAATTATTTATTTAGGCTGCATTTCATATTCGAAATTTAAAACGAAGTACAATAGAACAATTAGTTGATCATGAAGAAAAATTATTACATAGTACTCGTCATTCTTCTCGACCAGATGAACTTGATCAATCAAATAATTTAAATAATATTAATATAAATTCTAATAATAATTTAAATAATAATGGAAATATAAATAATCATCAATCAATATTTATTACTCCACAACATCTTACACGAATACCAAAAACATCTGTACTTGATCATCAACAAGTATTTTTTTTTGGATTAATTATTTAATTATTTCGAATTAATTCTTTATATATTTTAGTTTGTAACATTATGGAATTGGTTACCAGTACGTTTAAGTCTTACTCAACCTCATTTAGTATTTACTACCCAAGAACATGGATTTCGTTTACAAACATTATTAGACAAAATAAATGAAATCGAATATTCAATATTAATTATTAAAACAACAAATGGCGAGGTAATTTTAATTTAGAAAATTGATTTGATTTAAAGAAAGAAATGTTTTTTGCTATATCCTTCCGGAAATTGACAACGGAGGACGAAAGAATTTTTCATTGTACTAATATATTGGTTTTTCTTATGTTTGAATAGATATTTGGTGGATTTTGTGCCGGACTTTGGTCTGATCGTCATAATAAAACATATTTTGGTTTTGGTGAATCATTTTTATTCACACTTTTACCAAAACAAACGAGATATTCTTGGGTTGGTCAACAACAAGACAGTGATAATCGACAACATCAACTTAAACGAGAACTTTTTCTATTTGTTAATAATGAAAAAATAATTATTGGTGGAGGGTAAAAATTAACAAAAATTATATATTTCATTAGATTTTTGTTTATTTTAGTAATGGTGATGGGTTATGTATTGATGCATCATTATGCGAAGGTCGTACAGCTCATTGTGAAACATTCAATAATGAACCACTTTGTTCATCACCATATTTTTCTATATCAGTATTAGAAATGATTACGTTCGATTTTTCATCCTCCTAGTCATTTTCAAATGCCGAAGTCATTAGTTTATATATATCTTTATATATATGTGTGCTTGTGTATGTATTTATTTTTTCTTTCTCTTGTTTATTCTTCTATTTTATCAAAAAAAAACCAAAAATATAAATTGATTTTGTTAGAGAATGACAAAAAAACAGTATTGCGTATATTTTTATTCTTTTTCTTTTTGGTATTTTGTGTGTTATCCTTTCGATTGGCCTATTTTTTTCATTTTTGTGTATAAATGTTTTGTGGAGATTTTACTTTTGTGTTTTGATGCAATAAGATGAACAGCAAACAAATATTGAATTTGATTTGTTCGTAGATGAATTTAAATTATTTAATTTTATTAACTTTTTTACATACAAATATTTATGCATTAAAACCAATACATTTAACAATTGTTGTATGTGGTTATAGGTATAGAAATTAGAAAAAAAGTTTTATCTACTATATTTACTTCTTTTGATAGACTTGACGAAGCATTAAATGCATTAAAATCTTCATTAATATTTACACCATCACCACTTATTTTTCATATTTTTACTGAAGATCATTTACGAGCAGAATTTTTACGAAAAGTAAAATATTTATTTAAAAAATTTTGTTTTTGTTATTACTTAATTATAAATTAAAAGATTGATTTGGAATGGCCTGTGGAATATCAATCAAAATTTCAAATTGAATTTTATCCAATACAATTTACACGTGGAAATGATGAACAATGGAGAACATTATTTAAACCATGTTGTACACAACGATTATTTATTCCTGTTAGTTAAATATTTCGGGAAGAAAAGTAAAATCAATTGAAATGATTTGTTTTTTTTTTGCTTTTAGGATGTACTGAAAAATATTGATTCAGTCATTTATGTCGATACAGACACATTATTTTTAAGCAATGTACGAAGTTTATGGCGTCTTTTTCGAAAATTTAATTCAACCCAATTAGCTGCATTAACAGCAGAACATGAAGATCCATCTATGGGTTGGTATAATCGTTTTGCACGTCATCCATATTACGGAGCAATGGGTAAGTTAAAGAAAGAGATAATCATCAATAAGAGTGTTTCTCTTAAAAGACAAGCTTACTATCAGAGATGCGCTTAAAAACTACATCATCCACTCCAAACCTATTCCCATCCCCTTCCACCCACTTCTACCCAATCCACCCACTCGTACCCTACTTCACCCATTTCGACTTAATCCACCCACTCCTACCCTGTTTTACCCACTCTTACTCTATTTAACCCAGTCCCACTGATTCTACCGATTCTCAAGCCATAAGAATGTAACTGATGTTTTTTTAACCTTTGACCTTTGACCCGGTAGCAGGCAAGCAGGCATTCAACATTAGTATGTAGATAGTTTTAGAGAAAAACAAGAGTTCTTTTTCGAATGTAGCAAATGATCGATTTTATCATGAAAAGAATGTCAATTCGTTTTTTATTTCTAATCTTAATTTTTAATTAAATTAAAATTCATAGTCATTTCTCATAAAACTACTAAATATGATAATTCGGAATAATTATAAAATCGAATCGATCTAGACCCTTATGTTTTATACTGCTGTTGATTTTATGTGTTTTTTTTTAACAGGACTGAATTCCGGTGTAATGTTAATGAATTTAACACGTATGCGTCAAGTCGATATGATTTCAAAGATAATGGATATTTTCGATGAGTACCACATGAATATTACTTGGGGTGATCAATGTTTATTGAATATTTATTTTAATTATTATCCAGGTAAAGTTTGTTTTTTATGATGATGAAATCAATAAAAATGATTATGATTTTATTTCAGAGCAAATATATGAATTTAGTTGTGATTGGAATTATCGTCCTGATCATTGTATATATGAAAATAATTGTCAAATAGCTAAAACAGATGGTATTAAAATTCTTCATGGTTGTCGTAGTGCATTTCATAATGATAAATATCAAGAATTTAAAGCTATCTATCAAGTTATACAAAATTGGAAATTTGATTCAGATTTAAAACTTTCATTATTATCACAAATAAAAACTAATTTAAAAAATTATTCATTAACAAATTGTGGCAAAGCTTCAGAATTATTTACAAAACATTTATCAAAAGAAATCTCATTGTTAGATCATTCATTTAAAAAGATCTTTCATATTGCTTTTATTTTTAATGACAATTGGAATTTTATTGAACAATCGCATGTTCTTCTTAAATCTCTTCTATTATTTTCTTCAAATAATACTAATAATCAAATACATTTACATGTTATTTTAACAGATAATCATAGTCAAAATTATTTTTCTAAACAAGTAAATATATTCGACATAAAAAGTGTATAGAATTATATAGATGAATTTATTTAGATTGAATCAATGGATTATTTGATTACCTATTACAATTCTACAATAACGCATCCGTTTCAACTCTCGGTAAGATGAAGAATGCTTTTTGAATCGTAAAATTCTCTTTCCGTCGTAGACGACTATGATTATAAATAGAAAATTACTTAATGACGGATTGATGTTTTTTTAAAGGAAAATATCCCGTAGATAACAAAGAGATATTTTTACTAGATTTAAAACCTCGAAATAGACCACCTAGCTCGACTCAAGGGCTTTCGCTGCGGATGAGCTAAATGTTTTGTCAGTCTGACCGGAATGTCTTTTTTTAAGATTTCAAATAAAGTAAATATTCTTTCAAAGCTTTACAATAGAAAGAATATAAATCATAATAATTGCTTAAACTACTCATATGTGTAGTATTTTGTAGTATAGTAGTTACATTAATTAGTGTAAGAATATGATTAACCGAAAAGATGTGTCGAAAATAAATCATTGTCAATAGAACAAGTCACAAATGACAGTGGCTTTTTACAATTTCTTAGTTTTGATTAACGAGTGAATCAATGGAAAATATACTATAGCTCGTAAAAAGAACAATCCTATACATTGTTTTCAATATTGATCATCTAGTGTTATTGTTTAACTAATCAGTAATAAATGAGAATTATTTTAGACAATATTAAATGTTGATCGTGTTGTTTATTTAAATCCAAATATGATATTCATAAATTCTTTTGATAAATTATGGTCATTATTTGATCAATTTCAATCCAAACAAATTATCGGAATGTTTGGGCAATGTCAAATGTCAGGTATTTATTTTCAGAATTTTTCTTTCATAAAAATATGTTTTTTTTACATATCCACATTTTTTTTTAAAGCATCTTTCTTTTAAATAATTAGTAAGTAATTCATATAATGATTGTGTTTGATTGTCGCTTTATTGACTGTGTGTGATTGCTCTTGATAAATATCTAAAATCAAAAAAAAAAAACAAAAAATTTTTCTTCTTCCTACTATTTTATATGATTAATCTATAGGTTCGTCCAATGTATTACTTCTTCATTTAAATGAAATGAAAAATATGGATATTAATTTCGAACGTATAAATCAGTTATCAACTGGTAATTGTAAAACTTTTTTTAAAGAATTTTGATTTTTATTTTCTTGTTGTAGATAATGTTTATTTTCTTCCGTGCAAATATATTCTTGATACTGATCATTGTCAATCAATAAAACATGGATTATTACTTTTCGAAAATATAAATCATTCATTATTTGGTAGTTTATATAAACTAATTAGTCAAGTAAAGTGTTGATTTTTAATTATTTTTATCTTTATTATTATTTTTGGTTAGATTGATTTAATAAAATCAAATGATGCAATTGAGATTGAATTAAATCAAATTAAAAATTTACAATGTCGAAATGAACTTGTTAAATTAATTATAGAAAATAAAAAAACTAAATAATGTGAATTTGAAAATTTATTTGTTTTGTTATTAATATTGTTTTCTTTTATTTCAATAAACATTTTTTTAGATTAATAGTTTCGTTTTTCTTTTTTTTCATATTAATCAAAAATGGCAATTGATATAGAAAATTTCATGTAAGTATATGTAAATTTCCTTTTACGTAAATGAAATGATAGAATTACTCATCGTTAAAGGTAAATTATTTCTATACGAGAGAGAGAGACTTCCTCTACACACAGAGAAGAAATAAATACATACTATTCTTTGACAAGAAGCAAAAAAAAAACATGATATTAATCGGGCAATGATACGTAGCATTTTGCTGTCACATATATATCACGGTACTATTAACGACAACATCGTATCGACAACAAGAAAGGAGAAGAATAAGAAAAGAAAGAAATCGAAAAAAAAAAGAACGCAATCACTAAATGTGTACGTACGCAACTACGTGCGTATGTGTAAGTCAAAGAATCCACTCTCTATATGACATATACATATCCTTGCGCAACTTGCAATTTGTCCACAAACTCAGATCGTGCCGATATACACACATATATATATATATATATATATGTATGTATATATGTATATATAAGAAGCAAAAAAACATAGAATGTAAGAGAGAATGTGGCAAAAACATCGATGAGAAAGAAACAGAAAAAAACCGATAGCTAGACATACTGTGGACGCGTGAAAAGAGAAGAAAAATAAGAGAAACCTATAGAGTAAGGGAGAGACATTTATATGCTACCGCAGTCGTTTTTTGTCCTGTTTTTGCGTCTCTCTTTCGTTTTATTTCGTCATCGTAGGTTTTTATTCTATAAATAGGCATATCTTTACAATTACACTTTATTATTGAGATTCATACTCATTTTTGAAAAATTTGTTTTCTATAAAAATTAATAGAGTACTTCCCGTGACTATTTACCCTTCGTTGTATTTTTTTTTCTCTTGTTTTCTCTTGAAATATACCCTAGTTATATAGAAAAAATTAATTGAACGGTAAGAAATATATAAAATTTACTAGTCAGATATATTCATATGATATTTTTGACAGAAATTACCATTACCTGCATGTTCGTTATTCTATTGCATGACGATTGATTATACGTGTAGTAATGATATCACTAACATACACCTTTTGCATCTCTGTTGCGTTTACAATATTTTTTTTTCTTATATTTTTCTTTTACGAAAACAAGAAATAGAAACAAAATATCAGTGACTACGTAATATGTGTTTTTTAGTCTATAGTTTCGTTTTTTTTTTGCGTCTCCGACATGTACGTCTTTTGTATAGCATTGCAGTTTTTATTATTATTTTAGTTGTACACTTGTAGATTGCATAGATAAGTTATATTTTTCTCTTTTAACGTTTGTTTGTTTTAAAGCTTTCTCGTCTATTCAAAGGCAACAAAGCAAATTGAAAAATAGTTGTTTTTTTCAATATTACTGTCAATCTTATTCTTTTCTTTATTCGCCTATATTTTCTTTTTCTTGCTTTTATTCATTGTCGCTCAAGCGAGTAGAAGAGAACTGATTTTATACACATACTAACATATGTGTTCGCTACGATATTGTATGTCAGATGAAAAGAAGTAGGCAGATGTTGTTTTCATTCTACGACTGTTGCATCGTACGTTATATAGTGCGAAATGTGTGCGAGCAAACTGTAGTATCATATACTAACAAAATACAACTTATTTCAAATAACAAAAACAACACTAGCGATAATAGTAGATCGATGCGCACGAAGTGAGATAGAGAAAACAAAAGAAAACAAAAATGTATCAGCTGATGAGAGCAAATCTTCTTTTCTTTTTCTTTTTCTTTTTTTTATTTTAGAGGTCGACGCGTCTGCATTTAAAATTTTTTTATGTAGTTTATCAGCAGTGCTCCATCTGTTTTTTAAGCGTACTTTTTAACATAAAACTTTTTTTCTTCCTTCTTTTTTGTTCTTCTGTATACAGATGATTTCGTAATGTTTTTTTTTTATCGAGAGAGGGAAAAAAAAGGAGGATAAGGCTTTCATAGTCTACGTTCTATTGATAATAAACAGCTGAAAAATTCCTATTGCGTACAAACCTATAGAAGCAATAGTACTTGAGAAAAAAAAATAAACGAAAAAGTAACAAAAACAATCATTCTTCCCCCTATCGACATCATCAAAAAACTGTTTTCATCATCAAATTCCATGCACATACACACACACACACACCCTGTATTTTTATCCTATCGAATTGCAAAAAGAAAAACGAATAATAATAATAATACTACATGTCTTGTATTTTGAGTAGGAAAGTATTTATCTTTCTTTTTTTTTATTTTAGACGTACACTAAATGGCGTACGACGAGGTGTCACCACCAAAAAAAACGTTGGCAACAACAAAGTTGTTCATCAATACCTTCACCATTATCATCAACGTCGTCTTTTACATTAGATGCTAATCAATGGCGACAACAAAGTATACTTGTACTTGATAATCAGAATCTTAATATATATCATATGGGTATAATTCTCGATATAATCGATTCTCATCTTGTAACAGTATCACTTCGTGATGAACAATCATCAACAATAACAGTTGATTTAAATCGACCTATTTGTAATCATTTACCATCAATTATAATTGATAATATTCCAGCATGTCAAGATCTTATTGCTGGTACAGAGGTATGTGCTCGACAAATAGGAAATAGTAAAACAAATCAATTTCAATGTGGTCGTATACAATCTAAACATTCAAAACGTTTAGAATTTTCAATAGACTTAAAAGATACAAATAATAATAATCGCAATGAAATATATCAAGATGAAAATGATGATGGAAATAAATGGTTACAAGACAAAATATTCGTTTATTAGTTGAACCATGGCATGAAGAATTACGTCTGTATCGTGAAAATTTATCTACTTCAACTGTATTTCGACCAATATCACTTAAAGTGTCTACTGATAATGATAATATAGACGAACAACAACAACAACAGCCACCACCACAACAGACAGCATTTCCAACACCACCAATCGAACATAAAGATGATGATGATGATGAAGATGTCGAAAGAGAATTACAAAAAGATCAACAAACAAATAATAAATTTCAAGGAATAAAAAAAGGAGATATATTTACAATGGGGTAATAGGAAAAAAAATTTATTTATTTTTTTCTTTACTTATTTTCTTTTGCTCTTATTTTTTTAAGTAATACGGGTATACGTAAAAAATTCAATGGAAAACAATGGCGTCGTTTATGTGGTATGGATCAATGTCAAAAAGAATCCCAACGACATGGGTATTGTTCAAAACATTTATCACAAATGCGTGAACCACATGCTTATCAACATGTACAACGATTTGTTGGTTCAATGGGAAGTTTTCCTCCAGTTAATCCAATTCCATTTCTTGCAGAATTGTATCAAAGTGGTCTTGATTATCCTGGTCTACCACCACAAATGTCAGCATTCTATCATCCAATGATGCAAGTAGCACCTAATGTATTAAATACAATGCCGACACTTCGATCATTTTCCACACCATCACCATCATCGACATCAACATCATTACTAGTCAATTCAAATCAATCACCTAGCGCTTTTGTACCACATATACCCATTGTTCGACAGTATTCTGCTAATATAACTCCACCACCATCATCGTCATCATCAACACCAGTATTATCAAATAATACAAATTCATCTACTCGTCGATCGAGTGAAGATGATGATTCAGAAGTTGATATTGAAACTTTGCCACCACCACCATCATCATCATCGTCCAGTAAGTTTAAGAAGAACAATCTCGTGATATTAAATTTTATCATATTTTTATATTTAGCTAATAAACGATTTCGTTGCGATAATAATGAAAACGACAAATACAATAATACAAACAAATAATACTATATGGTGTATTATACAACTGTTACTGAAAAAAAAATTCTTCTTTGATAAAAACAGAACAGTTGATCTTTTTTTTATTATTATTATTTTTTTTCCATAGTTTTCTTTTTCTTTTATTCATCCTTCTTCTGCTTTCGATACAATCAATTTTCGTTTTGTCTTCTTCCTTTTTTTTTTCTTCTTCTTTTTTTCTTTCTTTCTTCATTTGTTTACGTTCAACGTATGATGAGCTAGTCAAGTCGGATCAAACCACGGTGTGTATGTTTTTGTGTATAGCGGTTAGCAAAAAAAAGACGGAAACCTTGATTAAATCAAGGTCGGTGATGCACTTTCATTTGTATTTTTTATATGAAAATACTATTTTCTTGTTGCGCTTGTTTCTAATCGAGATGTGTCGAGTTTGTATTTTTTTGTTTTTCTTTCTGATAAAGTCGAAAGTGCCATTATTGATCTCACAAAATAACTATTGTCGGATGTTATCATCTGGGTCGGTGAAACATCTTCTTTCTTTTTTTTTTTATATATTTCTCTTTAACCGGTTCTCTTTCTCTTTGATTTTATTCATAGTCTAGATATTATAAGTGTTATAAGCACAACGATGTCGTCTTGTTTTTAAAATATTTTATATGAACTATAGGAAATGAAAAAAGAGAGAAAGAGAGAAAAAAAGGACTGTAATCTCTTTTTTTTTCAGAAAACAAAATATATATTAAAGATAACTCTATGGCGAAAATTGTTTCATTTTAATGTAATAAATTACTAATCAGTAACGCTTATTATAGAAAGTATTTCTGTAGATTATAAAAACTGATTAAAATCTAGAACTATATCAGTTATATTTATCATTTTATCTAATCACATCTATCACTCAATGCCAAATATATATATATAACTTTTTGCTCTACATTCTTTAATATAGCTTATTAATTACTTGAATAGTAATATCATACTATCGAACTAATCGTGTTTATTTTTTTGTAGAAGTTCTCTCGTTGAAAACTTATCCAATGAAGCATTTTTTGTAATCCAATACAATGTATGAAAGGGCAAGTTAACTTCAATCTATATACGTTTGACTTGCATATGAAAATCGAAGTTAACAAAGAAACATTTAGATAAGAAAAATATTGTTTTTTTTTTTCGGTAAATAGAACAGCTAAATATAACCCAAAAGGTTTAACAATATATATTGTTATCAATAACGGAACTATTAGAGTACGTGACTAAATATTAAAGATATACTTTGATATGTACTTCTTTTTCTTTGGCATAGTATAAGATAATATGTTTAATGTATCCGTATCTAATAGAATTTTGTCAACAATGATACTTTTCTTATCTTATGATTTTTTTTATATCATATTTAAATAAAAAAGAACAAATTCTGCATAGAGCTTTAGTTAATTTCGAGATTGTGAATATCTTCATGTTTTTATCAATGTTAAACATTACGTATTAATAATAAATAGAATTTTATGTATGACAAAAAAAATCACGTATGAATAATTTAAAATCTAAGAATATCTGGCTTTTCTGTTTTAGATTAAATATGTCTCCTTTTTCGAATTAAACAAACAAATTAGAATATAAAGTTTCTCGAAATAAACAAAAATACATTTTTGAAATCCTTGATATATCTAACAATAATTTATTTGTTTAAATATTTTTTTTTCTAGATGTCATTGTCGAAAAGTAATTATGTACAACATTCCAACTGGACAGTTATTGTAGTTACTGCACAAGATCAAGAAACTGCTTATGCATTTGATTTTAGTTTGTATTCTATTTTGTTTTAATATTAATATATTTTAATTTTATTTCTAGTTCTTCGACAACGACAACGTTATGGATTAATCGATAAATCAACTACTATACTGACGGTTAATGATCCTCAAGAGAAATTAGGTAGTGGTGGAGCAACTTTGAATGCACTCTTAGTTGTTACAGAACATCTTAGTGCCAAAGCTGGTTACTCTGTAAGTTAATAATTTGTCTTGAAAAATACATATATATGATATCTATTTTATTAGCTTGTCAATACAAATGTACTACATTCCGCTCATATATTAATTCTACATTCAGTAAATTTGACTTATTTTTTAAAATCTAATATTATTTATCTTTGTCTTTCTTTTTTTTTATAAATAAAGGGTCGTACATTTCCATATGACGCTTGTCATCGTTCATTAGCAACATTACCTGCTCGTTTTGGACCACATCGTCCATGGCTTTTAACAAACTTAGATTTACTTTTACATGATTTCAATAATCTCGTAAAAGTTTTTTTTCTTTTGAACATCTTTTAAAACAACAAAAAAAGATATTTAGATTGCTTCCAGCGAATTACCATATGGTGTATGGGTTAGTAGTACAGATGCGTTTATAACATTACCAAAAACTGGTATACTGACAATAATTTATATATATTCATTTATTTTATTTGTTGTTTTTCAAGGCATTAAAATTCCAGTAAATACTGATATTCATGCATTAGCAACATTAGAAGATGTTCAATATGCAACTGGCCATGGTGTTTATATTATTGACAAAGATAACGTATGATAAAAGATATTTTCTATGTTTAGACTATGTTTAGTTTCTTGATTCTTTTTTAGAATATTGTTACAAATATTTTATATCAAGCATCGATGGATGAGTTGACAAAACTTGCCAATAATGAACATAAAGTACCAGTTGTAAGTAAAACTTTTTTTTATCAAACTTTAAAACTATTTTTAATTTGATTTTAGGCATGTAGTATTCTTTATTTTTCAGTTAATTTCGCTGAAAAATTAATAAGTAAAATACAATTTGTTTTTTTAAATAATTAGATAATAAAATCATCAATTTCTATTTAGCTTTTCATCGCATTCCACCGCTTGATGGTTGTACATATGAAGGTATTGATAATGGTTCACAACCAAATCAAGTATATTTACGAATTTCTCATTGTTTTTTTGTTTTATTTGATTTTCGTTTTACAATAGTTATCATTGTATTTTGATTTTATTCTTGCGGCTTGTGTTGATATTTCATTTGAAAAATTTTTATCATTACATTATCAACATATTACAAATGATTTAATAAAACAATCGAAAACATTTTTATGGAATCAATTAAATGGAAAAACAAAATTTACATGTGGTAAGAAAAAAAACACTCGTTTACTTCAATCTTTTTATATATTTCATATTAAATAATATAGAAATTCTTCCTGATTCTTGTCATTTTCAATATATTGATGCTCATTGGCCTTATTTAAATAAAGATAATATTCATTCTCAACGTGATAATATTCAATGGTTACCAATTCAACATTCAATCATTGATGATAAAAAACAAATGGAATTAGAAAACTTATCTATTATTAATAGTATTATTCATAATGAATGTAATCTAGGTAAAAATATAACCATACATAATTCAATTGTTGGAAATCGAGTAACATTAGGAGATAATAGTGCTATTCAATCTGTTGATTTTTCTAAAAAAGTAAAGAAAAAATTTCATTTAATATATTTTATCTTAATTTTAATTTTTTTTTTCGTTAAAGAATTTTCATTTAACTATTCCATCTGATGTTATTATTCAAAGAATTATTTTATCATTACAAACAATGAATGAAATGTCAAATAATCAATTGGATGTTTATACAATTATTGGTATTCATGATGATGTTAAGCGATTATTTACAAATGAAAAGTTTACTATTTTAAATATGTCATGGGATAAATTTAAACAACAAACTGGTATTGATATTTGGGATTTATGGCCAGATTTACAAGTAATAATATAAATTTATTAAATATTTCTATTTGAATTATTTTTGTTTTTTTGATTTAGAATAATCCAGAAAAACGAACATTAGCTAATGCTCGTCTTTATCCTGTATTACATTTTAATAATATTTCATCATTAAATGAAGATTTACTTTGGTTTTTTAATCCGACACAAATATTTTTTCAACAATGGAAATCATCTTGGCGTTTATCACTTCATGATATATTAATTCATGCGAATGTTTTTAAAGAAATAACACGTCGTCAAAATTTATTTCATACAATATCTCGACAAAAAATTCTTAATTTATTATTTCTTCATGGTAGTAAACAAAAAACAAATGATTCATATTTAGCATTATTAAAACAAACAATTGCTGATGGACATAGTACAGATATGCTTGATGCATTCGATCGTGCATGTTTAGATAATTCGAATAAATTACAAATATTATCATGTCTTTTTTCAGCAATTGCTAATACATTAGCTGAAATGGCTGGTGGTGATCAAGCTGGTCTTCGATCTGGACCATATCTTAACCGTGAATGGCAATATGCATTTTTAATGTTTGAAGAAGGAAAATATCTGCTAGGTATTCAACATTTAATTAAACAAAGACAATTATGGATTGATAGATCGGATCTTTTAATACGAGCTGCTCGACATTATGATGGTAAGATATATTTATATTTCAAATTTATGATAAAATAAAAAAAGATCCATGAAATCTTATTTTTTTTATCTGTTAGAAAGTATAATAATAATTTGTTTTCTGTTATTTATTTTAGGCGCAACACAAACATTGATTAAACAAGGTGTATTAACTTGTCGATCAAAATGTAGCATTGAAAATAATAGTAAAACAATT